GACGGGCCGGTCTTTGAGCGCGTTCGAGAGTTGACGCTCGGCGACCTCACTTTTGCAGGGCCTTTTCCGCGCTCTCCTCGACCCAGTGATGTGCTTGCCGATCTCTGCGCCCGGCGTCGTGCTTCGAAGGGAATTGTTTTTCTCCACGTCGTCACCGTTGCCGTTGCGATTCCATCGCTCTCCCTACAAGTCTCCGAACGCTTCCGAGAACATTTCTGAGATCAGCCGCGACCTTCAAGTGTAGAGGAGCAAAGCACACCGATGCCGATACCGATGCAGCTCGTTCGTTTCGCTTTTTGTGCGGCCTCCTGTGGGGTCCTCGCCACCACGGCTGGATTTGCTTAGAAATTCTGGTCAGAACGTACCCCCGGACAGGTACAGGGAGTGGAGGTATCGCTTTGCAATCGAAGGCGCGAGGCGGTATCTTTGCTTCATCCCCCAAAGCCGCTGCCTTCTTCCGAAGTCCTTCCTTCCTGCGGGAGGCGGCGCGGCGGCTCGGCGGCGCCTTCCGATGTTCTCTGGCAGACTTGGCCCCCCACCCGCCCCGACGTTCGCGGAGCACGGCGGCGCCGGCGACGGCGGCGGCGGCAGCGACGACGGCGGCGACGACGAGGAGGAGCACGGCGAGGACGACGGCGAGGACGAGGGGGAGGACGAGGGGGAGGAGGAGGCGGAGGAGGAGGGGGAGGAGGACGACGCCGATGATGATGACGGCGGCGGCGACGACGACGACGGCGACTCGGACGATTGCCCTCCGAGAGGCGGCGCGGCGGCGTCTCGGCGGCGAGCCCCCGGGGCTGCTGGTGGACGGCGGCGCGAACGTGGGCCGCGCCACGGCGCGCTGGCTGGCGGCGATGGGCGACACGTTCGGGCGTGCCACGGCGCGGAACAGGAGCCAGGCTCGCGGATGGTGATGCTGATGGTGGTGGTGATGCTGATGATGCTGATGATGCTGATGATGATGCTGCTGATGTTGATGCTGATGATGATGCTGATGATAGTTATTATCGTGATGATGGTGGTGATGGTGGTGGTGGTGATGGTGATGGTGATCATGGGGATTGTGACCATAATGATGGTGACGATCATGATGGTGATGACGAAGGTGATGGTGATGATGAGATTGATGATGATGCTGCTGATGATGATGATGATGCTGAACTTGGTGTTGGTGATGGTGATGGTGAAGCTGGTGATGGTGAGGGCAAGGGTGATGGTGATGGTGATGGTGATGGTTGTGGTGATGGCAACGGTGACGGTGATGGTGATGATAATGCTGTTGATGATGGTGATGATTATGGTGATGAGGATGCGGTGGTTATGTTGCTCATGATGATTCGGGTTATGCTATTGATGATGTTGATGGTTGTGATAATGAGTAGGAGGATGGTGATGAAGGTGGTGATGATGATAATGACGATGATGAAGATGATGAAGTTAATGATGACGATGCTGATGACGATTGTGAGGATGGTGATGCTGATGATCATGATGATGATGATGATGACGATGCGTATGATAATGATGCTGATGATGCTGATGCTAATGATGACTATGATGGTGACGATGATGATGATGATGAAGCTGATGCTGGTGATGGTGGTGGTTGTAATGGTGGTTGGTGATGATGGTGGTTGTAATGGTGGTGGTGTAATGGTGGTGGTGATGATGATGATGACGATGGTGGTTGTAATGGTGGTTGTAATGGTTGTAATGGTGGTGGTGGTGTAATGTTTGGACATGATTATGATGGTGGTTGTAATGGTGGTGGTGATGATGATGATGATGACGATGATGATGATGATGACGATGATGACGATGATGATGACGATGATGATGATGACGATGATGACGATGATGATGATGATGATGATGATGATGATGATGATGATGATGATGATGATGATGATGATGATGATGATGATGATGATGATCAGCATCATCATCATCAGCATCATCATCATCGTCAGTCTGAGGAAGCAGGAAGCGGGGGCGCGTGCCGCAGCCTTTGGCGCCCCGAGGCCCCCTGCATCATCTGCGCCGGCGCCGAGGCGACGGAGGGCCGCGGCGCCGAGGACGCTCCTCAGCCGCCGCCGCCGTCACTGACGTTGTGGTGGTCGTCGTCGTCGTGGCGGTGGTGGCCGCCGTCGTCGTCGTCGTCGTCGTCGTCGTCGTCGTCGTCGTCGTCGTCGTCGTTGTCAGAAAACGTCGGATGGCGGCCAGGCTTTGCTCCCCACTATCAGGCGACGACGAGGGGGGGGGGGGGCACAACAAGGGGCCGAGAGCGAGTCGCGGGAGGGAGAAGGGAGAGGAAGGGGGAGGAGGGAGAGGAGGGTGGAGGGGAGGGAGGGGCGGGGGTGGCCAGGGCCGCACTTGCTTGGATACCCAGGGAGGGCCAGAAACGCTAAAGAACGATGATCCTTGGTCCTCGATCCAAGAAGGACGACAAGGCCCCGACTCACCCCTCAACGGTACTCACTGAACCCCCTGGGATTTTGGT